CCTCTACTCTCATGGTATCACCGCTCCCACTACTGTTCCTGAGGGGTTTATCTGTCCTGAATTCCATGTGCGAAGAGCTCATCTGTAGCAATGTGTGTACTCCAGTCTAGCTGGATTTGTAAGATAGCACTGGGGTCATGATAGTGTGGGGGAGGAAGCATTCAGGAACTAGAAGAATGATGTAGGATTCCCCGGTGCTATACTGTACCCTGGTTGAATTGTCCTTTCCTTATAACCCTTCTGTGGGGGGCGGTCCAATTGTCCACAATTGTGGGGCTTTGGGCCTCCACTCCAACTCCTATCTTCCACATCGATATAGTTGTTTGATACCTGAAATATTTTTTTCAGATAGTGGAGACAGTGGAAATAATGGAAAGATACAGAATTCATCAGTACCACTAGGGATTCGCTGAATGACTTTGACAAGTAACTGCGCATCTCTGGTTCTTAACTGTGATATAAGGTGATTGAAATTCTGCTCCCACGGAATTCTCCTTTTTCTAACTTTAAACAAAATTTAAGGGTGGTCATTTCCTAGTTTGTGGGAAAAATTCTCCCTATTCCCATGTAAGTGTACTGATGCTAGAATCTTAACACAAGAGGATGTTTCATACTGCACCAAATAGATTTAGTCCTCTTCAGCCCCAAATGACAAGTGGTCCCAGCCTCAACCAGAACCAGAGTGGCAGGGCGAAATGACTCTCAGCAGGGCCCTTCTAGGATTCTTGGTGGTGACGCGAATTGTTGGGCTTTTGTAGTGGGTATTCTGCTGGCCAGAGAGCAATCTGGAGATACTCGGGTCAAATATGCCTGACTGGATCTGTCCCTGCCCAAAGCCTGAGTCAGTAGCAAACCTGGGATCAGTTTAGGGCTCATCTCTAGGTTTGGCATCTGAATGAGGCGCACACTCTGGCTGACACCTCATAAGCGTACTCATACTTCTTTAAAATTCTTCTCAGGCTTTGGGAGTGTAGAGGCTTAGAGGAAATATAGTCACGCCCCAGTCCGATGAGCTTCATCTGTTTAATAAAGACACAAAGTACACTCAACTTCTACTGTCCAGTATGGTAACCACCAGCCAGCCACCAGTGGGGGTTAAGCACTTAGAATGTGGCTAGCTTGATTTGAGAAGTGCTGGATTGTGCATTGGGCTGCTAACCACAAGAGCAGCAGTTTGAACCTCCCAGCCACTCTACAAGAGTGTAATTCCATTAGGAATTACAGCCTCGAAACCCCCAGGGGCAGTTCTACTCTGTCCTCTAGGTTGCTGTGAGTCAGAACTGACGTGATGGCCGTGGGTTTGGGTTTGGCCTATGATGTCTTTTAGATTCCCTAAATCTGTGTCTGTAAAGATTGCGACCAAGAAAACCCTATGGAGCACAATTCCACTTGGTGACGTGTGGGGCTGCCTCGGCTGGGGATCGATTCGAGGGCAGTAAGCGTTTGGTTTTAAGATATCTTTCACCCTCCATTTCACTATGAGTCAGAATTTATTTGGTTGGTAAGTATGCATTGGATTTCAAAGGCTTAGTACAAAAAAACATGCAAAATATCTCTGTTGTTACAATTAAGGTTGAAAGGATATCTGGGGTATGCTGGGCTAAATAAAATATTAAACTAATTTCACTTGCTTCTTTTTATTTTTTCAGCCTAGTCCAGTTGTATTAGGCAGCAGCGTTATGGAATCGAGGCTGTACCTGGCAGCAGAGGAGTTGAGCGTGTAGTAACTGACTGCCTGGACGGAGATGGAATGAAGACTGGTGTTGGAGTTAGGGCAGGAGTGGCAAGGAGGAACTGGCAGAGTGAGAGCCAATGGTCTGGGTGAGGTTTTGATCTGCCAGCAAATACATGTAATTTTAGGGACTCCATAGAAGTGGTGGGGTCAGTTCTTGTTCTGCACTGCTCAGAGTGAGGTAGCTCTTGCTTTTTCTTTTGGTCAAGGATCTTTTAAGCCAGAAAGCCTTCCCTGTCTTATATACACACCCTTTGTGTTTGTGCAGATCTCTTTCCGAACTCACCCCATTATAGTAAACTTGTGCCCCAACCACCACATCTCTTGTCTCATCTATCTTTGTACCCAGCGACTCAGGCAAATTGTAGAGACCCCGGAAACGCAAACGGGGGATGGAAGAAGCTCCTGTGGTCAGTCTGAGGGGAAAGTATCAGCTACCATTCTGATCCAGAAAGATGCAGTCAATTACTTAATGCAGCCCTTCAGCCCTATTCCCTTATGAGGTGTATTCCTCTATGCCTGGGGTTATAACCCCATTTTGGAAGGAGTTCTATGCTATGGTAATGGACACCCCTTTGTTTCTTTGTGGGGTATGGTCTGCTGAAAGACAAGAACCTCACCTCAAAGTCATTGCTCTGTGTCTAAGAGCCATCTCAGAAACAAGAACACAGGAGTTGAGGACCATTGGAGGGAGAGTACAGGTGAGATGTGTCTGAGTGTTGGAGAATGAACCAGAGGCTGAGGCAAGGAGACCGTGAGGCAGAACAGAGCAGCAGCACCAGGTCTGACTGAGGTAGAGCAGCAGGCTGGCTTCCTGGCCCCCAAAGACAGAAGCCAAGGGACCACGTGGCTGAGAGGCTGACTGTATCCTTACTATTCACGGATTCTGACATGTGGTAACCTAGTAACTCCCCTAATACATTCCCTGAAGTCCTGAAGTGTGAGTATGGTCTGTGAGTTCTGTGTGGCCACTGATTACAATGAATCACTGCACTCAGCGCAGAAGGAGAGTACCTCGGGAGGAGCAGTGGTCATCAGGATCGGTAAAGAAAAAGGAAGGTTAAGGTCTGACTGCTGCCTTGTGGCAATAGAAAAGCCAGAGCAAGTCCGAGATGGCCCTCCATGCTGTTTTCGCCCGCTGTCAGGGCCGCACCGCTGCATTGAGGGAACGTGGGCAGAGGTTTGGCAGAAGGGAGATTCTGACCTCACGTCTTCCTAGGCCTTTAGGTCACATGGGAGTTGTTCTGTTTACAGAAAAGACTGACCCCTTAGTATCTGCTTCTTCCCCTCCCCCTTTCCTTGCTTCCCAATGGCAAGGGTGCCCTATTGCGTTCCTCTTTAAGAAGTGACACACACAACACAACACCTGGCCTTGGCTCTTTCACTTCTTTGTGAGGCTTGAAAAATCCTCTGGTGGGGGATGGTCAGGAGCAGAGATTTCTCTAAATTTTCGAGTGTGGAAGTCAGACGGTTAGGAAGCAGAGGTGTCAATTTATGTATCTAGGACAAGCAGATGACAAGGACCAAGGTTTTGCCAGCTTTAAATAGCTTGTGGCCCCCTTATCTTCCTTTCCAATGATCAAACACCTCTTTCTTATTCCACCACCCCATCTTTTCTGGTCTCCCCAGCACTCCCCCAGACACCAGCCTGGGAGTACACATGGAGTCATGCCCAGCCTGCAATGGTTCTGAAGATTTCACACACACACACACACACACACACACACACACACACACACACACACACGAAGCATTTCTGAGCATGCTCTGGAAAACTCTTCTATAAGCCCTCCTGTTTCTCATGTGTATATGGTAGGATGCTGCCTCTCCCCTGCCCCTATAGTGAGATCTTCCTCCTACTGTATATGAAACCACATAAGTGTATTTTACAGATGATAGAAACTTACCTTTTAAATACTGAAACTGCGTAGTTAAATAGTGAATGTGCACTTTCTATGACACTGGTTATCCAAATCCCAAATCACTCGCTCTGCTACTACGGCTCTTACCTGAGCCGGTTTGCTGCCCTTTGTGCCCATCTCTTCGGAATATGGACAGTGCCAAGAGGTTGACTCAAGTGATGTGCAAAGGAAGCAAAATTTATAATCATTTCCACAGAACAAAGCCAACAAGGTTGAAGTTCTAACATGAAGCTCTAAAATACTCTCGGTTTTAGAAAAATCTGTACTTACACGGTGGTGGATGACAAATTAACAACAGGCATTCCCAGGAAGAAGAGGGTGGTGGTTTTGTGGATTATGTATATCCTTCACGTAGACGTATGAAGATGCTGCGTATTGAAGATGTCATTTGTAAGGGACATTTCTGGGAGCACCCAGAAAAGGACAGGGGTAACATGAGTACTGCTTCAGAACTGTCATGTGCAAAATGTCTTTCCTGGAAAGGCAAGCATTACCACTAAGTGGAGGAAAGTGCCAGGGACTATGTTACTCCTGCAAAAAGTAATAATTTTGCACGAGGGCAACCTAAGGCTCAAAGCAGTATTGCAATAGACTATTTGACTCACTGCCACCCAGTCCATTCTGCCTCATGGCACCCTTGTAGGACAGGGTAGAGCGGCTCTGGAGGGTTTCCAAGACTTGCTAACTTTATAGGAGTAGAAATCCTTGTCTTTGTCCCACAGAGTGGCTAGTGCTTTCGAACTACTGACCTTGTAGATTGCAAGTGTAACCCACTAATGCCATCAGGGCACCTTTATAGGACTATTTAGCACAGTACAAACTTGTTAGGTTCTTGTCAGTATAAGTGAAGTGGTTATTTCTTAGCAATATTCTGAAAAGGGATTTCTGACTTGGTGGAAGGTTGGACGGGAGACCTCCAAGCTCATTTCCAATGCCAAGATTCTTTGATTCTAGGACAAGTCACTACCTAAAAGCAAGTGAAGACTCAGCTTTTTCTCCATTCTAGTCAGGGACCTTACAGTCTCAACCTTCCAGAACATCCTACAATTTAAAAATTAAAAGGTCCCTGGGGGCAGTGAGGCGGGTGACAATGGTCACAGTGCCTACACATTTGACACTATGTGACAGTCACTAGCGAATCGACCAGACCAAGAAGTGAAATGAGACACGGCACCTTATAATCTAGGATGCGCTGATCTGCAAGGAAGCAGCAGCAGTTGGCTGAAGAGTCAGCTATGGAATACACACAAGTTTGTCTCTACTTTCTGATTTCTTTCAAACAGCAGTTTATAACCCTTCAAAGCTGGGTAAAAAAGCTCCTAATTTCAGTCCAAATTAATGAGTCTATGGTTTGTAGTGATGGCCATGGGCTAACAAGAAGCTACATTTTATCTACAATGGCATAATGTTGTTCACCTATCCATTCCCACACCTCCCTTGTTTGTATGAACTACACAAATACATTCCTTTTCTAGAAAGAATCACCCTGCTAACCCACCATCAACGATTGCTTTTCTCATTTACATGTAATTTGTGTGTCTACCACATGCTAGCCATCTCGTGAATCAGCCCATCTCACACTTTGCATAAGCTTCTGTGATGATAAGTGCCCTCACCACTTCTGGTTGATAAGATTAAACACCAAGCTCAGAAGGGCTGCCTTGCGCATGGATATGGAACAAGGAAGAGGAGATGCAGGGCTAGCAGCAGTGGAGGAACGGAGGACCACAAACCTTGGGCTCTAAAGACCCAAGAGAGGAGCACTGCGGTCATTAGGCTGGGCCAGGCTCCCCCACCGTTCAGGCTGAGGTCATAACCCAGAGACTTTGTCAGACACGCACACAGAGAGGCAAGATTTCACTTTATTGTTACGTCAGTCTTACAGACAAATCCAACACAGCCAAAACAGAGAGGGTGAAGTGCTGATGCAAAGGCCTAGCAACAGGAGGAGGGAGGAATCCAGCTCATCTCCCCCATGTCCCCAGCCTGGAAAGGTACTGCGATCCAGAGTAAGGACAGCTGACATACCAGGCGATCCACTCTATTGATACTTCGAACTAAAGAAGACAATATTACCAGACATGATCTAGTGCTGGGTAAGAAAAAATAATAATAATAATTATAGACTCATTACGCACATTAAAAAACAAATGATAAAAATAGTATTTTTCAACTCCCTGTACTAGAAACGGACATCTACTAAGCACTGAGACAGATACCCATTCTATAAGGCTACTTCTTGCTATTGTCTGTCCTTCAGAATTGGGAGCTGGGTAGATGCTTCTCCTCAGCTTGCACACTGCCCCCACCCCCACCCCAGGGCCCCAGCCAGAGGCACCAAGGAACATTGTCTATGAGGAGTCTGGGAAAATAGACCCAGAAGTGACCTCACCAGCTCCCCAAAAGCAGACCCAGTGTTCTCCTGTGAATATTGAAGAGATATGGGCTGTCAAAGTGGCTAACTTGGCATCACTGAAGAAGCCTAGTTAAGACTTTCATAATTGTCTTTAGACATTTTGAGGTACAGCCAAGCCTGGGACTCACAGCACAATTTGGTTAGGGAATAATGATTTGATTATACTATGTGAAATTGTGATATCCTAAGTTCAGATCACCCCAATTATTTCTATTCCCAAACAGGAAAATCATTGGCTCTAAGGCCTGAAGGATCATTAATGGCCATATGATCATGATATGAACTCAAAGAGCCATAAGGTATAATAACTTTCCAGACTTGAGAGTTCCTGCCCTTCCTTTGGCCAGAAAACCAAAACCAAGCTTTCTGCCATCGAATCAATCCAGACTCATAGTGACTCTACCCTGTACGACAGAGCACAACTACCTCTTTGGGTTTTTGAGAGTAAACCTTTTTAAAAAAAATCATTTTATTGGGGGCTCATACAACTCTTACCATAATCCATCCATCCATTGTGTCAAGCACACTTGTACATTTGTGGCCATCCTCATTCTCAAAACATTTGCTTTCTACTTGAGCCCTTGCTGAGACTGAATCTTAACAGGAGTGGACAGCCCATCTTTCTCCCTTGGAGCAGTTGGTAGGTGCACACCTTGCAGTTAACAACTCAGTGTGGAACCCACCACACCATGAGGGCTCCGTACTTTGGTCCATAGGGAAACTCCAACATGCCTTAAATGTGGCCAAGAGTCAAGGCTCGGAGTGGGACTTTCAAGTCAGGAAGTAAGGTCTGAAGGATGTCCTGAAGTGGAGCCATGAAGGTAAGGGAAGAGAGCGAGGGGGCCTCAGGGGACAAGTGCAGGTCCCTCACAGGTAAGAGAACGGTGGAGCTGAGGAGGCCCTGAGATCATCTCTGCTGCCCTTCAGGCGGGTCCTCCTCTGCTGGCGCTGTGCTGGCTTTTCCCTTGCGCTCCCTCTAGTGGCAGAGTGGATGAGGTCCCAGGAAATAACTCAGGGATACCTGGCAGCAGGGCTGCCGATTTAGATGAGGGTCACCAAGGCCCTAGGCCTTGAAAAACACCTGTGGAGTCAAAATCATTTAGGGTTCCAAAGAGCAATTTGGTCAGGGCAGGGATGAAAAACAGGCTGGAGTTTCTTGGGGGGACCCATTCGTGTCATGAACCAAGGGCAATTGTGGGAATATCTGAAAGGAATATTCACAGCTAGCCTTTTAAAAAACAATTTCTAACTTCTTTGAGCCCTTCCTTTCTGGACCGTAAATGTTATTAGATACTTGTGTGTTTACATGGACACCCCGAGAAGAAAGCTCCAAGATGCCCCGTGGGGTCCCCAACCTTTTGAGGGGCTCAGGGAATACTGTGCACTTAAAAAAGGTCGCCAGGAACACTGCCCACTCCTGTCCTGCCTTCTTCCTCATACCAGTGCAGAGCTGAAGACTGTTCACCCTCAACTTCTTGCTTGGAAGTTTTATTCTTACCTCCATCCCAGAAAGGTTCCTTCTGGGAAGCCTCCCACCAAGTGATTCTCAGTGGGTCCAGTCCCTTCCAGTCTGTGCCTGCTCCGGGCTTTGAAAACTCCCTCTCTTCCCCCTGTGCCCAGGTATTTGAGAGTTTGGATCTTATAACACCTACATTATTTACTGATGCCTTCAATGCCATCTCAGAGAGCTTTTACTGTGACTTTCAACTCTGTTCCTCCCTCTACCCGCTTCCAAAAAGTTCAAGGTGAGAAACCATCTCATTCACCTTTGTAATCTCCCCCATTCAGGCACCCAGATGAAGGCCTTAATGTGACATTTGGGGGCAGGGGACTTTTAGCCAGAGTGGCACCTCAGAGGAGCCCTCCTAAGACCCAACCCTACAGCACACTCTTTTCACACATTTGGCTGCTTCACCCTCCTCTAACGGCTTGAAGACAAAGATGCGGTGTGGTGGACGGATATCACATTGGCTTGGAAGCTGGGTCTGAGTCCCAGGTGCCTTTCTGCCACCGGCTTGGTTCATTAGGTTAATCATCCACTGCCTCCCTGGACCCTGACGGGAAATGGGGGGACTAGACGAACGCTTTGGGAGTTTCTCAGATTCATGCTGGAATATTAGTGAATGAACCAAAAGAAATTCTAATTGGTCTCCTGCATCTCATAGAAACAGCTGGGAGGAGGTAAAGGTCCAGTTCTGAGCTACAGGAAAAGAAGCAAGTGTACCCAGGGAGAAGTGGAACTTGGCAGCCCCTGGACTTGACTAATAAAAGCAAATGCCTGGAGGAAGCGGAGAAATAGGTCCAATGTGAGACCTGGCAGTGTCAAAGGTCTACAAATTAAGTGGTCAGAGGAGTAGAAAACAATGGCTATAACCAGACAAGATCTCTAAGCACAGACTACAGTCTAGAGAAGTCTGGGTGGGAAGGAGCCCCTGAAGCTTCTATTACAGGGAAGGACTTGGTCCACAGCGAGTTGCGACTTCATTTGGTACAGCGCTCTGTCAGCCTCGTGTGTATGCACACACACAGACAAGCTGCAGCCTGTAGTTATGCTTCTGAAGTGCTGAAATGAGAAAGCAACATCAGAAGAAATGACAGGAAATTTTAAAAGGCTTGGCTGAAGACAATTTTGATTTAAAAAAACTCTCGATCTTCCTTGCGACTGTGTGCTACATCACCATGCATTCTGAAGCGTCAGCTAGAGAGTTTTGTGGGATGGTAAGCTCTAGGGGTGCGGAGGGGTGGGCTTGTTTAGGCTTGGAGGCCAAAGGCAGGATGCAAACCCATACCCTGTTTGATAGTCCCTAGTCCCCGACAGCCCCAGCTCCTGACAGATGGATTTGCTGTGACTGAACCAATCTAGGCACTCACTTGTCTTCATTCAAGGAAACGGTCTCCACAAAAGGGATTTCCTCTTTGTCTGACTTGCCCATGACCAGCCGGTGTTTATCCAGGTTTATGATGCACTGAAAACAAAGGAGAGTCACTGGTCACTGTCCATGATCTCATTATGAGGTCCCCCTGGAGGAAGCCCCTGCTTCAGAGAGAAAATATAAAAAGGGACAGTGGAATTGATCCTACCTTCAGGGACCGGAGTGCCTGAAGGCCAAGGGATAAGTTTTTCTCATTGTCCTCTAAAAAAAAACAAGCACAAGTTTCAGATGCAGCTAATTCCATGCTGGTTAAGAAGTCCATTTCTTACAGAAGGGTTGCAGGGAGGAGAAGAGCCAGTCAGGGTGCAGTATAACACCGAGGAAACATACAACTTCCCTCTAGTTCTTTAATGCTCCACCTCCTCCCCACCATCATGACCTCAATTCTACCTTACAAATCTGGCTAGACCAGAGCATGTACACGGTACAGATAAGAGCTGAAATCACAGGGAATCCAGGACAGATAACCCCCTCAGGACCAATATTGAGAGTAGCCATACCAGGAGGG